GATAGAAAACGGTAGTTCTGATTATTTCCTACTGCCGACACCCTGACATCGGCACGTGTATTGTCTGATAAAAGGCATTCTGTTCTGTGCCGAGTTCCATTTTCAATGCGGGGATAAGTTGACATTCCCTTCCCTTACAGCTTACTGTCCCTGAAAGGATTGCTATTTTGCTTTAAGCTATCAGTAGTACTTCTATGCTTCAAAATATGATGATACATTTGACCCAGACTTCCGAAATAGTTCTATATTAGGATATTGGTTTGTGATTTTCATTTCAATTTTTTTACGTAATGTGGGGGCAATGGCAACGCACATTTTGAAAATGACCGCGTTCAGGGACGGTCACCGGCTGAGTAGCTGAGTAAAGCTACACGGTGAGACCTATCTCGCTGCATGCGGCGAGGCGGCGTATCACGTAAATTGGTCTCGGCATCACACAACTCCACAGCATCACACACGTTATCTCATGGCACTGCCACTGAAACATCTGTTCTATTTAAAATGCCGTGCTACTCTCAGCTTACCAATGAGCAAATCTGTGCAATTGGTGTAGTAATCGACGAGGATGAAGAGAAAAAGAAAAGGCCCAGAAAAATATCACATCGGAAGTTATGGATTTTTTTCGTAACGTAATCCCTAGTTGCCAAAGGATGAACTTCTTTGCACTTATTGGTCAATTCTTCAAATGCTGCATTGCGTAAATTCCGGTCCGCATAGTTTTTCGATTTTACATCCCATAAACATGGAAAACTTCGATACATCTGTATAAATTCTTCCCAAAATGCTTTGTTTCCATCCATCTTTAAATATTTTGTACCTACATATTTATAACCAACAGAATTGATAAATAAAAAATAACTTACTAACCTTCGTTTTTAATTCCCCCAAGTCACTATTTTTTGACGATCAGTGGCGCTACACAGCCCTTCACAGTGAAACAAGTTGAGACTTGTCGCATTGCAAGTCCCATGAAACCGTCGGAGTCGGTCTCAATGATACATGATACTAGCTAAGACCGCAACATTAACATTGAGATTTGTCTCTGAGATTTAGGTATCGCCGCAAGCGGCGAGGTAGTGTAAAACTTGGAAAATAAGTTCGTCATAATAATGCTTTTATTTATTCACTATTCTAATAAACAATATGCATTCCTTCGGAAACTCCCTATTTATTTATCTAGTAATCCTAAAACACTCTATTTGAAAGTCGATTAGAGAAAATAGTATGATTCATTGGCAAGCGATGTAAATATTTGTGATCACAGTTTGTGATCAGGTAAAATTGTGATGTAAGAGGAGGCTTAGCTTGGCGGCGCGCGGCAGGTCAGTCAGTTGTTGATAGGCCGGCCGGCTGTGTAGTGTTGTGTTTTGTCACAGAGCTGACAAATGGAGGTTGCGAGTCTTTTGACTAATATAGTTGCAAGTCGTTTGACTGTAAGCCAACGGGGTCGTTTGACCACGGTAAGAAAACCTCTTGTGACGTCCTGCCTTCGAGTTGGTCTTGAGAGTTTGAGGTCTCCATAATGTCTTCTCGATTGACGATGCGGCGTTGGGATAGTGCGCTACCCAATAGCCGAATAGAAAGAATAGATCCGAATAATATTTCAATTAGATGGAAGATATGGAATGTGATATATTGAATAGAATATCAGTGATGTTAGTGGCTAGGGGGCGGAGTACCCCCGGGTGAGTCTTACTTTTTAACTATCAATTTTATCCAGATCAGTAAATGTTTGTTTTGTTATTTTCATGTACAATGAGAGAGTGCTTGCCAATGACCAACTAAATGAATATTTGAGGTGAATTTGCATTGTGAGACCCGGTTGAGTAAGCCCCAAAAATAGCGATTTTACAGTAGGTCTCACCGTGTATGCCTCGCTTAAGCGACTTCTCTAAACGGTCTATTCTGACGAACTGTACACTAGTGATGGGCATTATGATTGTTTTTATTGAATCGAATCATAAAATTCAATTTCTCATATTGAATCGACTCCTACGATTCGTTCATTTGAACGAACAAAATTATTGCACATGCACAATTTACGTTTCATAAAAACAAGAATCCTAACTGGCACTACCGGCAATAATTATGGATAAAAAATAATAAATTAGGAGGTACTACTTGTTCACTAATGCTGTTTTATTTTATGCGAATTATATTTGAATTAAACAGAAACAAATTTTATATAATACCTACTTGTATTATTAACTAACTAGACATATTATTAAATAATTCAATATTTAATCATTTCATCATTATTAATGGTATTCTAAAATGCAATTAATTTTATTGATAATATCAAATTAACTATAGATACCTACTGATGTAATTCAATGTAGGTAGTTGGAAAATAATTTTGATGTATATTATAGATAATTTAAAAAAATAACATAAGTTAAGAGTTGTTTTCTATAGATACTAATTGTTTTAATTCATTTGTTTATTTCATTTTTAATAAACTAAACAAATGTATTTATATAATAGATATTTTAGGCAGATATTGTTATATGTGTAACTTTAAGCAACTACTTTTTTTCCTTACTCAAACAGATGTAATTATGAACACCATTTACTAGAAGGTGTTAAGTGTTAAGTTGAAGATTGTTTAGACAAAGTAAATTAATAACAACTAATAACAGGTTCAGATAAGTTGACTTATATTTAACCAAGTTGTATTAAGAGGTAAATTTATTTAATTCTTAATAAAATATTGACCTTATTTGTATACCTACATTTTTGAAGTGAAACTCTCCCAAGTGGGTCTCACCCTGCAAAGTTGGATACGACGTTTCGTTTACATCTTCATCAGGGTAGGATCAATGATTTGATATTGAAAAAAAATGTGCCTTGATTTCGACATAATTGGGGACAGGCCCTCGACGTTTCGAACCGATGCATGCCTCTAAATGGACGAAATCATCAGAATTTTCCTTAATTATGGGCCCATTGGAACCAAACTCGGCATGTAGACAGAGGTACCCGAATGGAGTCTTCAGACTGACGGACGGACAGACAGACGGATGAAAGAAAAAGTTTCACTTCAAATATGCGCACATAGTGCACCCACGTATACATTATATACTAAAAGGTTTGGCTTAAAAGTATTTTAATATCTTACTTTTATAACTCACAAAGAATACATTCTACAAAGTAATTTTAATCTAGGCGTAGAATAAATTAGCTATCAATATTGACAAATGTGGCGTCAATGAATGCATAATTAATTATGAGCAAACTGCATTTTTGTTTCTCAGAATAATTTCAAGAATAAAATATGTGATTTAAAATGCTAAATTAAATTATCTTATGAATTTATTAATAATAAAAAAAATCTACCATAAACTGTAATAATTATATTTTCTTAGGGGAGGGAGGTTAATCTCTGCGATCCCACAGATCTATTGTATCCTCCTTCCTTGAGTTATAATTTATCATACAGTCTCAGAGCTTTGACAAAAGCCAGTATCTGAGACGGTTTTACAGAGCTTAGTCCTCCATCTCCGATAGCAGTCATACCAAAGTTTGTGGCACGAATGGTTGTCATCTCGGCGCACTCAGTGTTAAGATGTTCGGGTGTTTCTCCATTTTCACGCAGAATCTGCATTCACCGTTGTTTCTTAACTTCAATCTACTTTCGGTGTTCGTTGAGGAAACAGTTGAGAGGCCTAGAAACCCCGTGACAATCCGAATATTGTTTTTACTTAAGAGTCCATTTCACTAGTCCAAAATAAGCGTTCGGCATTTAACGTTTTATGTAAAACTGGCTAGGTATTTTTACACAAATGAAGAAGTAAATTAAAGATAAAGGATTATACTATATCCGTATTGTAGCACATTTTTAGACAACTTCTTTATTTTTAAGATTTTGATGGTCAAACATCAACTAAATATTCCTTATGTTTGGACTAAATTTTCTCGAAAATAAAGACATAATTTAAAATTCCGTTACAATACGAAAATTGATTGAAGTTTTGTGATTACAATGATAAATAATTTATATGGTTTTGTAACAAATTGCTCGCTATTTTATGGCAAATGCTGAAGCTCTGCAAACCTTAATCAAGCCTTAATTAAAGCACGTTTGTTTGGAATTTTAGGTGTGGATTAACACGACAGGATCGGGCTAAGCCTTAGGCAGATTTCTGAAATATAATATATATTTTCTTCGACCACACACCCGCTTTACCCGACCCCTGAGAGCGACCCGAAAGTACAGCGTAATTTACTCTTAAATCAATCGGTCGTATCTTCTAAGAAATTTCTTCAAGTGTCTTAGACGGTTGGAGGATTCCCATTCCGGGTTACGGATGGAGTCTTCTAAGTTCTTAAGTTCCGCTTTTAGTTGTATTCCACTTGGAGAGCAGAACGGTTCTGGTCCAGTTAGTGCCTAGGCGTGTTCTCTAGGAATTCTTTGAGAAACTTCGAATTGATTGTTACTGAGCTGATCGCTTTTAACGCTGCTATCCAAGATAAGTACGCATATTTTGATAGCGCAGATTTCTGCCTAAAGGATTCTGAGGAAACGTTTCTTTCTTCTTCCTGTTTACCTATAGTATTAAAAAGATCAATTCTTAATTTTTACTTCTTGTTCTCAATCCAAAAAATTTGTTTCTTTTTTCAAACAAAATCATACTTTCTGTATAAAAAGTGTTCAACAATCCTTCCTTACTTTCAATATAATAAATTATTTTGCAAGTATAAATACTTATACTGCGAAATAATATAATAATAATTAATATAATGATCCTTAATTATTAATTCATACGTAGTGTCAATTTTGACATTAAAGTAATTCATAATTTTTGTATAAAAATTTTCATTTATGATGTAAGATATTTACATATGAGTAAAAGTAATCTAACACTCACTAAACTATAAACCTGTATATTTGCGGTGTAATTTATTCTATCTATTTATCAGGTAAAGTTTATTTAATTAGCACTTGTTCTGTTTATCTATTCCGATCGATTTATTATAAACATATTTTCATTTTATTACAGGGGTTTCGGGAAACAAGGATACCAGTGTCAAGGTAGGTTAACTATATTTTTTTACAATAAAAACTTTGTCTAGAAATAGTTACCTATTTTGAGATTACCGTGGCGGCGCGTGGTTCAATAATTTGAGGAAGCACAACCTTAGCAAAAAATATTAACAGCGGTTTCAAATGGAGAGGAGCGTTCGCGACGGACCGTCCGTCGTGTTTTTTCAAGATAGCCGTCGAACGAACTCCGTCGTCGGACGGAGCATACGCGCCCATGTGAAATTGTTCATATAAACTCATGGTACTTACTCGAGGTCACGGACGCTCCGTCGCAGATTACTGGGTATTAGCAAAAGCTTTGTTCGGGTTCTTGTTATTACCGATTCTGAACCATCCTTGAACTGTGATGCGTAAGCGCAGAAGGAAATATGAAGACATTAATTCATTTGCGCATGTGCTGCAGAGCTCTAGGACAGTTCAGAATCGGTAATAACGAGAACCCGAAAAAAGCTAAAGTATTAGTAATAATTCTCTTACAGCGCTTTTAGATGGAGCGGGGCGTCCGCAACGGACCGTCCGCCGTGTTTTTTCAAGATAGCCGTCGACGAACTAATCCGGACGGAGCATACACGACCCATGTGAAATTGTTCATATAAACTCATGGTACTTGCTCGAAGGGACGGACGCTCCGTCGCGGACGGTCCGCTCCATTTTTCTCTTATTATTTACAGATGGGAATTTTCCTTTTTAATTTAGAAAAAGACACTAAGTAGTCGAATAATTTAACTACAAATTACTCAACAAATCATCACAATCGGCCAACTAGAACAACATATGTTACTAACTTTAAAATAAATCAAAATTTTAAGGTGCCCGTCTTTTGGCATGATAACATTATCGTCAGTAAAACTAACACGTTTCACTGTCGATATTCTATCATGCCAAAAGACGGGCACCTGATAACTCCATTTTTGACTTTAATTAAATAATACCACGTTTAATACATAGTTTTTACGTTACGTTTTTAATGAAATATTGAGTTTTATTGTTTCCCAACAAATATTATTTTTATCGCTTTATCATATTAACGCATGAATATAGTAGCTACATACATTGTACATATTTTTTTGTAACGTTTCTTTTCTCTCCTGTAAAATTAGGAATAATGCAGTTAGCAGTTTAACACATTTTCAGTTAGTTTCGTTCATTTCCCTTTTCAACGGAAATGAATAAAACTTTTGATTTTTAAATGGCGCCCTCGGTATTTTTTTACTTTATTTGATAGAAAATGATATCCTGAATAGAATGTCATATATGTCAATTTTTGACATTTTTAATTAAAAAAATATCATTTTAAATTTTACCTAAAATAAATTTTTTTGTAGAGGTGACAGTATTCTAGTTGGATGACAATATTTTAGTTATTGAACCACGTGCCGCCACTGTCTAAATCATAAATTTATAAATCAAAAGACTTGCCTTCTTGTTTAAAAAGTAAAAAATGATTTTGAGAACATTCCAGTACATTTGTCAGATATAATCGCTAATGTCAGCTCTTTTGGATAAACTAATGTTTGTTAATATATTTTTAACGGACTGTTACTGTTGATATGGTAAAACCAAAACACATTAAACAGTTCAAAAAATAGATTTTCTACATTTTTAGATAGTCGTACATTGCCTAAAACAACAAATACCGCATGATCAAAAAGTTTTAGTACGGAGCAACACCATAAATCATTTTGATCATATAGTACATATACATATACTATGGATTTATTTTCCATCCAATCAAAAAGTTTTATGATCTTTAGTGGTATATATGATGGCCTTGACTTTGACGGTTAAAATATATAATTAAATTTTACAATAATCTAATTGTTTATACGCATAAGCACGTAAAATAGTGATAAAACTTTTTGATCATATTTTATGTTTGAATGAATAATTAGTAATCAGTATCTCATATTTTAAATTAAATGTGACGCTTATGGATTAATGTTCGTTTTTTTTCAGTTTGCAGTTTTGTAGTGCATAAAAGGTGCCACGAATATGTCACATTCAAATGTCCAGGTGCTGATAAAGGAGCTGATTCTGATGTAAGTATTTATTACATTTTTTTATCTGGTACACTCGGTACAAAAATAAAATAAATTTATTTAAACATTAGGTGTTGAATTAAAAGAAACATTGCTTTGATACAGGCTAAAACAATAATTTGAAATATTGAAAGACATTGTTTGATGCGTCCATTTAATTCGTCCATGCGTTCCTGCACGTATGGTACGATGAACCGCATCAATGCGATGCGTCGATGCGGTTCGTTGATGTGATTCGTTAGTTTATTTGGAAATTCGTCCATTGTGTTCGTGATATTTCTTTACATAAAAGATTTAAATAAATTCCTGAAAAAATATAATTTAAATAAATTCCTGAAAAATATCTAATGAACCTTTGCTTGTTGATTATCAAATCAATAATTATTTAAATTATTTTGAATTTTTAGTCTAAATTAAACTTTATATTTAATTACATTTGACTGCAGTACAGAGTGTCCCATTTTCGTCTGTTTTGCAGGGTTTCTCGTTCATGAGTACAAATACAATGCGGTTTTCACATCACTGTACTACTTCTTTATGAAACTAAATATGCCAGACACAGATTTCTCCTAGCCCTCTTAGTTCCTAATCCATGCACAGGGAAAATTTGAAAATTTTGCATTTTTTGACTCCCTTCGTATCTCAGTTATCTTTTAACTTATCAAAAGGATAAAAAAACCGCGTCCCATTAGTTTTTCGCTGGAAACTATCATTTTCAAAATATTTTTTTAATGGGGTATATTATTTTATTAATTTGCTTGTCTCCATTATGAGCTATCTAAAAATATACTATAATATACACTTATTTTCATAAATAAGGTAAAAATAAGCATTATCAAACTTTATAACATAAATCAATCTAGTTTAAAAGAGTATTATTATTTAATTTAATTTAATTTAACCAGGTAATGTTGTTTTCCGTTATGTTTTTAATAAACTGCACTGAAAATGAACTTCTGTAGCTTTTAGATAACACGCTCTAAATCAGAGCTATTGATATTTTTGATGCACTTGTGCAATACTTCTACACACAAAAACTAGCGTGTAATAGCCAGTAACCACAATATGACGTCAAATAGATTATTTGATTGTTTTGATTACCTCATTTAAATCGACCGCCTATGTGTTACAAGGTTAAATAATGCATTTTTTACCTTGTATATGAAAATAAGTAAAATAGAAAATAAATTTCTTGCAGTATCGGTATATAATAAAATTATATAAGGATTCTTGCCACTTAACTGCTGATACAGAAATTTAATTCTACACTGTGTTTTGTCATAATGTGGATCAACCTGCTCTCACTACCGGTTTCGGAGCCCTACTCCATCATCAGGTAAGCTTGGGCAGATCCACGAAATGACAACCACAGCGCAGAGATAGTTAATTCCGACTTGTCGGAAAGTGTCGGTTAGATATTAATTCCCGAACGGGAGATAGCGGCCTGCGTGCATCTCCCGTTCGGGACTTAATATCTGTATCTGTATCTTAATATCTGTTCTGTATCAGCAGTTAAGTGGCAAGAATCCTTATATAATTTTATTATATACCGATACTGCAAGAAATTTGTTTTCTATTTTATTATTTGGCTCGCCTGAAAAAAAAACCTTTTACCATCCTTTTACTATCGATAGTTGCGCCTCGGTGCACGCAGGCCGCTATCTCCCGTTCGGGACTTAATATCTAACCGACACTTTCCGACAAGTCGGAATTAACTATCTCTGCGCTGTGGTTGTCATTTTGTGATTCTGCCTGATGATGGAGTAGGGCTTTGAAACCGGTAGTGAGAGCAGGTTGATCCACATTATGACACAGTGTAGAATTAAATTTCTGTATCAGCAGTTAAGTGGCAAGAATCCTTATATAATTTTATTGAAAATAAGTATAGAGTATATTATATTTTTAGAAAGCATAGAACAAGGCAAATAGGCAAATAAAATAAAAAAAAATGGCGCCGGGAAGCACGTATAGCCGCCCATACTAAAATATGCTAATAAAAAGTTGGTACGCAGTTCTTTTAGTTTCAAAGTAAAGGAATTTTTCCAATTTTGGTCCGGGGCTATTTCCCCTATCCGTCACCTGGGGTCGCGTCCGATGGGAGTTTGGAGCTCTCCACATGGATTTTCTCAAAAACGGACTACGAAAACACGGAATATCTCAAAAACTGCGACTTTGACTGATTTTGATGTTTTCAGTTGAGGGTTGGAACCTTTGGTGTTACACAGCAAAATAAAACACTAAATCACCACAATACACCAAACCACTTTTACGTTTACACTGGACGCGCGTTTCGCTACTACAACAAATTTTGTTGCAAATAATATTCCTAATCTTAAATTGAAAACCGGGTTTCGCTAGCTACTGTAATTTTGGAGTTACGATTTTTTAAAATTTTTAACCCCCTCCCGTACCCCCTTACCAAACCCCCACCCCCACCAAAAAATAATGGCCAGATTCTCGGAAGCCACAGTATTTTTGTGCCAAATTTGGTTAAAATCGGTTTAGCGGTTTTTGAGTTATTGTGTTACAGACGGATAGACGGATAGACGGACAGACGAATAGACAGACAGACACCATGAAAATATTTTGTATTTAGGTAATTTATGACCCAAATAACTTATTTTGAGTGAAATTAAAAAAAATCCTTTTTTTTTGCCGATCTTAATAGCCTACCATACCTATTGGTATGGTAATATATGGAGTATCCTATTTAAAAAAAAATATATTGGGATCATATGACAACTCCCAGAGAAAATATAGTCACACCACTGAATTCTATGTGAAAAACTCTATGGGTCTCAAGTTACAAGATGACCGAGATACGAAGGGGGTCGAAGAAGGCAACATTTTCAAATTCGCCCTGTATTTCAGGAACTAAGAGCATTAGAAGAAATCTGCGTGTAGCGTCTTTAGTTTCATAAAAAAGTAGCGCAGTGATGTGAAAAGCTCTACTTCCTACGAGACACCCTGCAACACAAAAATGGGACATGTAAATGTATATTACAGCATATTAGAAGGTATTCCGCACGAATGTCTAATATACACTATATTAAATTTTATTCTTCACCTACATTGAGAGTTCACAATTATTTCTTGATTAGTATTCTGTCTACGGCCGAAGGGAGTTTATGAAATGCTATCGAAAGAATTTAATTTTATTTCAAAGAATTCTATTTAATTTTCTCTGAGTTTCGATCACTTGTGTAGGTGGCATTAGTAATTATAGCAGTTGATTTATTTCACTCAACGAAGATATATATTATTTATAAGTTTATATACCTATGTATTTGTTTTATTGACTGTCCGATTTTCCTGTGATTTAGGTATAGGGTTTGTCGTTTATAGGTAGAGATCTAAAGATGCGGTTGTCAAGTCACTGTACTACTTTTTTTGTGAAACTAAAGATGCTATATACAGATTTCTTCTATAATAGCCCCCTAATATTTATCTTGTAACAGGATGTTAATTTTTAATTTTAGGACACCAGAACAAAACACAATTTTAAGATCCACACATATTCATCTCCTACATTTTGTGACCATTGCGGATCTTTACTTTATGGAGTCATTCATCAAGGAATGAAGTGTACAGGTAGGTCAAAAATGTTATATTTAATTTATATGTTAATATGGATTTGAATTTCTTAGGCCCGGTTGTACAAACATAGAGTCGAGTTCATATGATCGGTGAAATACGCTGAACTCTGTAATTAATTCTGTTTAGGTTTATTTTTCTTGTTTATTATATAAGATGATTAAAAGGCCTGTTTAAGCCTCGAAAATGAATGGCTCAATAATTTTAATCGTTAAATATCAAATTTTTGAATTATGTATAAGATGTCATTGAACATTTTAATAAAATTTTGAACTTGGGTTAAATCTGAACCGAGTATGAACAACCGGGCCTTAATCAACTAAATACAAAACTATCGCAGAATATTATTATGCAATATTCAATATTTTATAAATAATAATATTCTACGACAAGCCTGTGTTCGAAAAAGTTTATAGAAAACAAATTTTGTATAGGGTGTTCATTTTCGGGTGTAAAAAACTACCGCAGCTGGACTCCGCCTTCAAGTTTTCTGTCAAATTTTAGTATTTTTGCCACTTTGGCCTTTTGCCCAAGCCGTCTTTGACGCCGGTTTTTTTTCGATCATACAATATAAGAAAATATGGTCTAGAGATAGAACGGAGGAGATATATCTAGCGAAAAAAAATGTAGTCAAGATTTACAAGTAAAATCGTTGTTTGAACAATTTGTATACAGTATTCTGAAATAATAATTTTATCTAAAAATATGATTTGATTAGTGACACTCGCTAATTCGAGCATAGGTTGGCACACGCTAAATTTAAACCTTTTGGTGTATTTTTTTTAGAAAAACTGAATAATATTGTAATATTGAGTGAGATCGTTAGGCGCATAGAGAAGGTTTTCGAATGTTCTCGTATGTACGAGTCCATTCTAGTGGGTCTCGATTCTTCTCGAACGAATGAATCATTGCGGTGTCTATGCGATGTTAAGGTCATCCGAGGGCGGGCCATATTGTGAGGTTAGGTCGAGTCCACACCGGCTCGCAACAATATGATCGGTGAAATACGCTGAACTCTGTAATTAATTCTGTTTAGGTTTATTTTTCTTGTTTATTATATAAGATGATTAAAAGGCCCGTTTAAGCCTCGAAAATGAATGGCTCAATAATTTTAATCGTTAAATATCAAATTTTTGAATTGTGTATAAGATGTCATTGAACATTTTATTAAAATTTTGAACTTGGGTTAAATCTGAACTGAGTATGAACAACCGGGCCTTAATCAACTAAATATAAAACTATCGCAGAATATTATTATGCAATATTCAATATTTTATAAATAATAATGATCTACGACAAGCCTGTGTTCGAAAAAGTTTATAGAAAACAAATTTGTACAGGGTGTCTCATTTTCGTGTGTAAAAAACTACCGCAGCTAGATTCCGCCTTCAAGTGTTATGTAAAATTTTAGTATTTTTGTCATTCCCAAGCCGTCTTTGACGCCGTGTTTTTCGATCATACAATATAAGAAAATATGGTTTAGAGATAGAACGGAGGAGATATATCTAGCGGATAAATATGTAGTCAAGTTTTACAAGTAAAATCGTTGTTTGGACAATTTGTATACAGTATTCTGAAATAATTATTTTATCTGAAAATATGATTTGATTAGCGACACTCGCTAATTCGAGCATAAGTTGGCACACGCTAAATTTAAACCTTTTGGTGTCTTTTTTTTTAGAAAAACTGAATAATATTGTAATTTTGAGTGACATAAAATGAGCTTTACTAAGCAGTTCTCGAAAATTTAACCCCTAAGGTGGGTAAAAATTAGAGGTAAAAGTTTATATAAAAATTTCATAACATTGGTTTAGAAATATGAAATTTGGATAAAGGATCCTTCAGTGACGTGAGTTTAAATTAATGAGAGATTAAGAAGCGATTTTTGGAAACTTACTCCTATAAATGGTGAAGTTGGCGGTACAAATTTATATAAAATAATTGCAAATCTGATCTAAGGTATACAATTTTGCGTAAAGGTTTGATAAATGAGGCAATTTTTGAAAATTCATCCCTTAAGGGTAAAAAAATTTGAGGCAAATGTTTGTGTAAAATTTAAATATCTTGCGCCATCAACCGAAACTAAAATATTGAAAAAAAAACATTTAAAATACCTAAATTAACCTTTATAGAACGTATTCACTCATAAAGAGTTTAATAACATTATACCTAATATTCTTCAATTCCATTTTGTGCAGAACATTTCGTATCCCTTTTTCTATTTTTAGTTGTAAGAACGCTCTTCATAACGTCTTATTGCGTCATAAAGAGTTCTTTATAACGTATCTTATTGTAGTATGAAAATTCGGTAATGCGAAAAATATACTATTTTGAAAGGATAACTGGAGTTATACGAGGGTTGTCTTTTATATTTTAGATATAGAGGTAGAAGAAATAGTAGATAACTTAAACACTATTGTTTTCCGAAGTATTCTCCACGGAGCGAAATGCATTTTTGTATTGTTGGCACCAATTGTGAAAACAGTTATTCCACTCGCTTGTTAGTGCCTTTAAAATTACATCTTTGAAGGCGCTGCGCTGGCTTTATCTGCTGGGACTGGATCCTTTTAAATTTTGGAAAAGTAAAAAAGTCGTTAGGACTTAGGTCGGGACTGTATGGAGGATGGTCCAACAATTCGATGTTTTCTTGCTTTAAAAACTCACCAATTACTTCCGGCAAACAAATAAATATTTATCAAACCAGCTGTAATAATTCTTTGATATTGCAGAGTTGTTGCTACATGACACACTTGGAAAGACTTCGAGAACGAATATCTTTTGTCGGTTTCGTTTCATCTTAGAACCCCCAAACAGCGGATTGACGTTTATTTTCGGGTTAGTAGGAGTAAATCCAGGATTCATCACCACTGACAATACTGTATATATTTTTGGAGTATCCTGCGTTAAACCGGTGTAGTTTTTTGACACCAATTGACTCTAATTTCTTCTCGGCTTTCTGTTCTTTCGTCAGCAGGAAACCAACAAGAAATTATTTTCTTTTACAGATAATTTTTCATGTACATTTTTTTGAATTGAGGTCTTTCAAATGATTTCAGTTTAATTATAGCATCGACGTTTTCCTGGGTGATGGGCGTTTTGTAGGTGGACCTGTTTAGATTTTCCATAACAACGAGAAATTGTCGACTGATGTAGTGCTTCATTGCAACTTGGAAAGGCATTCTTCTTGAGACAACAAATTGTAAAAAATTATATTGCGCGAAAAGTTTCTTGGCTTAATTCCATTCTTCGACTTACCCGTCCACTTCAAAAATTCAGTTTAGGTCTAAACAAAACACGATCTTAAACTTTGGTGTCAAGTTAACTAAAGATGACAGGATGACAGTTAATTTTGACATTTGATATATTTAGTCAGGCGTCTACTATGTTTCTATATGCAAAATATAAAAGACCACTACCAGTAATAACATAGCTGCGGTGGACAATTATGACATACGCATACCCTTTAAGTTAGGCAAATATCTTGGTAAGCGTCTTTTGATTGTTTGTGTTTCAACTTTTTTGTTTTTCTTGATTCTTCGATTTTCTCAGTTGGATATCTTGATTTTAAAATTGAATATATCACATTGCATTTCTGTCTGGAGACACACGAGACCAGAATATGGTTATTGTTATAGGCTAAATTCCGGGATAGTAAACTAAATTAAAACCAATCATATACTCAAAACTTGTAAGGCAAGTACAAACAACATAAACGAAGGTATATTATAATAATTACCAAGATAACATAAATGAATGAAAATATCATAACATAATAAACGAATGAATCTAAATCGAAAAATGTGATGGAATATTATTAAATATAAGTGTGTATTTTTTCCTCTGTGAACTATATAACATTTGGTTCTATAATTTGATTGGCGCTTTCCTGGATAATATAATGAAATTCCGGGATCTGGAACAACTTACTTAAATTCGGGATTTTCCTGGAGACCCCGAACGCCTGGCAACCCTAGTCGAGAATAATAATGAATTGGATATAATTGTGCTTGTACCTTAATTTTTTAATTAAAAACTCCGTAACAACTAAAACAACTATTTTTACTGTAGTGAAAATATATGAAAATGTTTTTTCTGCTTGGACAAAGATATAGTTTAGAAAATCCAGTGTTACTATTTCGCATTTTATATAAACGAACTTGCCATATTTCCCGGATTAAAACTAGCAGCTTTTACATTTGCAGGAGAATTTAGCTGACTTTCTAAATGTATGTACAGTCGCAACATGCATACATAGTGGCTTTGAAATTGTACGAACTTTTCTTTTATTCTAGCAGGGCTAGTTGTTTGTTTTAGAGGTTATACATATAAATTCAGGACTTTTAAGTATAAAACTTTTCCTATTTACATACACGGCTTTATAACTCTGTTGGAATACCAAACATTTTATAATAATGAAACACATACAGGGTATTGTATTTCTTACCCTGGGCAAAATGTACGTCTTATAGCCATACAGCCTCCTGCCAAAAATGAAAAAGATCGTCAACAAACAAGATATTGGCTTGTATCCATCTTAAGTGGGACACCCTGTATATGAAACATCATAAAATAGAAAAATATTTCTTTTGAAATTTTCTTCTGGCGAGATCCCTATAGTTGTGTCTATAGTGTGTATTTTTATATGGGACACCGTGTATATTCGATATATTTATTATATACAGGAAGTTTGAATATTCCGTGGACATAAAAATACATATTTTTTGGATCAAAATAAGTTAATTGCACACAATTTACCTCTATACAAAAGTGCTTCGTTTGTCCGTAAAGCGGCCCATACATTATCAAACAAATTGCACAACGCAGGCTGTTGCGCAACGAGTTGCCAATGTATGGTAGTGATTGATGCGTTGCGCAATTGTTTGATGAGTTTCAAGAATGTTTGAATTCTTTTGTGCAACAGGACTGTTTGCGCAACGCGTTGTGTAGTGTATATGTGTCTTGCGCTTTGGTGTGCGTATATTTAGTATATTTTAGTT